GGGAGGAGGAGGAGGAGGAGGAAGAGGAGGAGGAGGAGGAGGAGGAGGATTCGAATATTCAGGTTACCCTCAGCTACATAGCAAGGGTGAGGCTAGCCTGGGCTACATCAAACCTGTCCCACAGAAAGAATAGTAATGTAAGCCTCACCCCAACAACCCTATCTGTTATGATAATTCTTTCTACCAAAAGCCGCCGAGCCATACCACCACGTGAAGCTTTACGCCAGCCGCCCGCCTGAGTTAGGGCCAAATGAATACACAGAAACTTGTATTAGGTTCAATGCTACTTGGCCAATGACTAGGATTCTCATCTGTTAGCTCAGTCTTAATTATCATAAACCTATATATTCTGTAAGACTTATCTTATTGGACGCCTGTTGTCGTCCCTCCTTGCCGGTGGATCACATTGTGCCATTGGAGCAGGAGCAGAGGGGAAAAGAGGGACGCTTCCTGTTTCTCCTTCTTTAAATATGAGTCGCCTTGCTATGTCACTTCCTGCCTGGATGACCACTTCTCTACTACATTTCCCAGAATCCTCTTTGACTCCTGGTCCCATCTAACTTGCTGTCTCATTGGCCAAACAGTATTTTATTTAACAATCAATAAGATAAACATACACAGTAGTATATTCCCCATCACCTATCCATCCCTTCTTTTTGTCCTGTGCTCAGAAGGGCCCTAAAGGGACTCCAGAATCCCATGGAAAGGCACACCTCCAGCCACCTCTACTGGGCAGCAGGAATGAATGTCAATGATCGGTTTCGTTTTGTAAATGGTGTGTTCTCTTTCCTCGCCGTGGGGTCTGTCAGATTTATCTTCAATGAGGTACGTACTCAGAAGTGCTTAGAGGAGATGCATTTGTAGCGAATATAAGCAAACAAACATTCCCCTTTCCCCATCAAGCGCTGTCTTAGGGTTTCTAGTGCTGCAACGAAACACCGCGACCAAAACAACTTGGAGTAGAAAGGGTTTATTAGGCTCACACTTCCACAGCACTGTCCATCACTGAGGGAAGTCAGGACAGGAAGTCAAACAGGACAGGAACCTGCAGGCAGGAGCTGATGCAGAGGCCATGGAGGGGAGCTGCTCACTGGCTTGCTCCTTATGGTTTGCTCAACCTGCTTTCTTATAGAACCCAGGACCACAAGTCAGGGATGCCCCACCCAAATGGGCTGGTCCTCCCCTATCAATTACTAACTAAAAAAATGTTTGCCCAATCTTATGAAGGTATTTTCTTAAGGTTCCCTCCTCTCAGATGATTTTAGCTTGTGTCAAGTTGACATAAAACTATCCAGCACGAGTCGGTGCTGTCTGAGAGTCAGCTGAAATGGAAGCCTAAGACACGTTTGAAAAACAGCTTGCGAGGGGGTTGGAGCATAGTTCAGGCAGTAGAGTGCCTGGCTTTCAGGCTATGGCACCTGAGTTCTAGACCCAGTACCTATTTTAAAAAGCCTGGCTTGATGACATGTACTTGAAATCCCAGTGATGGAGAGGTGAAGGCAGGAGAATTCTCAGAGCTTACTGACCAGCTCTGCACCAAAGAGAGACCTTGTCACAAAGGTGGATGACATGCCTGACACTAACACTGAAGTTTTCCTCTCACCCCTACACAAACACGCATCGACACGCACAAGCACGCCAAATATTGCACAAACACACATGTATTTGGCAAAAGAATTTGCTTGGAAAATGTCCTGTTTTGTTGTTGTTTTCTGTCAACTTGACACAAGTTAGACATCTGGGAAGAGGGAGCCTCAATTGAGAAAATGCTTCTATCAAGCTGGCCTGTAGGCATGTCTGTGGGGCATTTTCTTAATTGAGAATTGATGTGGGAGGGCCCCGCCCACTGTGGGTGGTACCATCCCTACAATAGGTGGTCCTAGGTATATATGGAAAGTAGTTGAACAGAGCAGGGGGAACAAATCAGTTAGCAGAAGTCCTCAATGGTCTCTGCTTCAGTTCCGCTCTGGCTTCCCCTGATGATGGACTGCAAGGAACTTATAACGCAATTAAACCCTTTCCTCCCCATGTTGTTTTTGGTCATGATCATTATCACGGCAATAGAAAGCAACTTAGGACATAAAATAACCCCCCAAAAGACACGTATATGCGGGCCGTAGATCGGGGGTTCAAGAGCTCACACTCGGCATCTGCTTGACAGTTGGCTTCTGTTTTCCAACTGGCCATGTCATCCAGATCTAGTGAGCCATCTCATGGGGGCTTTCCTTCATCTTTGCTGGGAGGGCCCCCGAGCACTTACACACAGACTACTTCTGTGGCATCAAAATAATATATAAGAATTTGGCAGTCTAACCCTAAACAGGGTCCTAAGTAGACCCTTGGGGGATTTTGAATAGCTCTCTGGGGTCTAATGGAAGGTAACCTTTGACCTACAATTTTCCTGCCTCTCTTACCGGGGCTTCTCAAACGATGGGTCATATAAATGAAGGTTTCGAGCCAGGAAGGGCCAAGGGCAGGCCAGGGCAAGGCTTTCTGACCCCTTGGTGGCTCTGCCTAACCTGCTTTCATCACAATGCATACTTCATCTGCCCAGTGTCCACATCACTGTCTTTCAGGAGCCCTGACTTGTGCATTCTGGTCCCGAGGATCCATTTGCCTGTTGACTGGGTCTCCCTGAGCAATTCTATGGCATAACCTCAAACCAAAGCTGAATTTAACAACTTGTGTAACATCTCTGGAACCATCCTCCGCTGGGAGACCCCGAACACCCGCTTCCAGGTACCTCTTGAACTGTGATAGGGGCTCAGGAGGAGTAGGAGGAGATGCGGGTATCCCATGGTCCACGCATTGCACCCCATCTGTTGGCAGGGGCAGGTAACCGAG